CTTCCTCTTCTTCCTCTTCTTCCTCTTCTTCCTCTTCTTCCTCTTCTTCCTCTTCTTCCTCTTCTTCCTCTTCTTCCTCTTCTTCCTCTTCTTCCTCTTCTTCCTCTTCTTCCTCTTCTTCCTCTTCTTCCTCTTCTTCCTCTTCTTCCTCTTCTTCCTCTTCTTCCTCTTCTTCCTCTTCTTCCTCTTCTTCCTCTTCTTCTTCTTCTTTGGTTTTTTGAGACAGGGTTTCTCTGTGTAGCCCTGGCTGTCCTGGAACTCACTCTGTAGACCAGGCTGGCCTCGAACTCATAAATCTGCCTGCCTCTGCCTCCCAAGTGCTGGGATTAAAGGCGTGCGCCACCACCCCCTGGCTAGGCTTTATTCTAATTGTTGGAAATAACACCATAAACATGAGAGGCCAAGTCCTGCTATACAGTAGATGTTTGTTTGTTTATTAGTAGTACTGGAGGTTAAGCCAGGGACCTACATAATGCCAGCAAGTGTTCTACCACTGAGCACTGCCCCCACCCTTTTCTTTTACTTATTTTTAAGTGTCTGAATGTTTTACTTGAATGTATGTCTGTGCACCATGCCTGGCCATCAGATCTCCTGAGACTGGAGTTACAGGAGGATCCTGAGCGACCGTATAGATGCTGGGAATTGAACCCAGGTCCTCTGCAAGAACAGCCAGTTCCCTTAACCACTGAGCCATCTCTCCAACCATAATTTTCGTGTGTTTTAAAATAAACTCTCATGTAGCCCAGCTGTCTTTGGACTTGACCTTGCTATGTATCTGAGGCTGGTCTTGAACTCAGGATCCTCCTATATGACTTCCCATGTGCTGGGATTACAGACCCACAACACCACTTCTGGCATTTATTTATTTCCTTTTTTTTTTGAGAAAGGTTTCATGTTTGTTTATTTTTTGAGAAAGGATTCACTATACGGCATGGCTTGGGATGCTTGCTCTGTAGACTAGGCTGACCTCAAACTCAGAGATCAACTGTGTCTGACTCCTCCTTCTGAGTCACCTGAACGGTGGTGGACTACTCCTCTAATCCCACCACTCCACTTGGGAGGCAGAGGCTTGATCTCTGAGTTCAAGGCCAGCCTGATCTACAGAGTGAGTTCCAGGACAGCTAGTGTTACACAGAGAAACCCTGTGTAAACTTCGAAAAACCAAACAACAACAACAACAACAACAACAACAACCCACTCTACCAACTAAGCTATCCCCCTAGTCCCCATATATTTATTTAGATTATTCTTTTTAATTCATGTCTTCGTTTATGTGTTCATTTATTTATTCATTATGTCTAGTGTACAAGCATAGACCAGAAGACAACTTGCAGGAATTTGCCCTCTCCTCACCTTTCAGGTGAGTTTGCTTCTGTCAGACTTGCCATGAGGCATGGTGACAGGAGCTTTTTACCTCTGAACTGTCTCCTCCAACCTGAACCAAGATGATCCTGGAACACAGGAAGCATAGCAGGCTGGCCTTGAACTCAAGGATATACTCTTGCCTTCCACCTCCTGAGTTCTGGAATTACAGGTATATACCTCATGCCTAGCAAGGACGATCACTTTGGATGTAAGTACACAAAGAAGTTACATGTAAAAGTATGAGAAGTATGTAGCATAAAAATAGTTACCAAAAGAAAGCTGGGGCAGCTACATTATTGCGTGATAATAATAGATTAAAAATTCTATGTGATGGCACAGATCTCTCCCAGGATTGTGAATTTAAGAGCTATATAAGAAGATTCAAAAATGAAACATAACAAAACTCAAAACCTAGCATAAGAGGTTGGCTTCGTAGACAGAAAAGGACTAAAGAGAGTAGAAACTGAAACAAAAAGTAGGTTGGTTACTTCAAAGTTATTTTCAGTATAAAGTGGATACAAAGAAGCAAAACAGTTAACATCATGTTACCATTTTTGTGTTTGGGTTAAGGTAGATGGAACACTATTGTGCCAATTCAAACTGATCTGTTTGCGAAAGCTGGCTGCTGTTTTTCTAATCTTGACTTCTTGGAAATTCAGATAAACAGTTTAATTTCATCTTGGTGACGTGGACCTTTAGTACGAATGACTCCATTTTTATTTTTAGCCTAGACTGTCAGGAAATGGTGTGGGAGCTTAACCAGAAACTATAGCTTTCTATAATTTCTTCTTTAACAAGAGTACAATTTTGGCTTATATCCATCATGCTGCTATTTCTCAGTAACTTGTTTAATTAAAAAATATTGTTTAAATTTTAATTACATTTTTTGTGCATTATGTATATATGTTGTCTTCGGTTCAATGTGCGTGTATGTGTGGGTATACATGCCTGTGCTCCAAGATGTGGAGGTCAGAGGAAGGAGTCTTCCTCTATGCCTGTCTGCCTTACTCCTTTCACAATCTCTCACTGAACTAGAATTTCCCTATTTGGCTAGGCTGGCTGTCCATTGAGCTCCTAGGATTCTTTTGTCTCTACCCTGCCAAATGCTAGTGTTACAGACATGCACAGTCATACCCAGCTTTCTTTTATTTTTAACATGGGTTCTGGGGATTCGAACTCAGGTCCTCAAGCTTGCATAGCAAGTACTTCTACTCACTGGCTCATTTCACAGAAATCCCACTCCCCACCGCATATACACAAAGACAGGGCTCCTCTCTGTAGTCTTGGCTGTCCTGGAACTTGCTCTGTAGACCAGGCTGGCCTCAAAACTCACAGAGATCTACCTACCTCTGCCTCCTGAATGCTGGGATTAAAGGTGTGCATCACCACTGCCAGGCTTAATTTTAAATTTGTGTACACACATGCACAAGGGTCTGTGTAAGGATATATACATATAAGTTTAAACTTGCCTCAGAGGCCAGAAGAGAGGATTGAAGTTACAGGCATTCATTGGAGCCTGATGGGAGCTTTGGGAATTAAATTTAGTCCTCTGGAAAAGTAGCAAGGGCTTTTAACTGCTAAGCCATCTATCTCCTGCTGCATGGGCCGAAATTCCTGACCATATACCCCAGATTCTTTAATGTTCCCAAATGCCTCAATATAAAATGTAAAAAGAAAACTCGATAGGTTGGCATGGTGATGCACACCTTTAGTCCCAGAATTAAGGAAGCAGAGACAGTTAGATCTTTGTGAATTTGAGGTCAGCCTCAACTACATCTGAAATCTTATCTCAAAAAAATGAACGAATCCCAAACCAAGCCTCTTCCCCAGTCAACCAATTTATGGCTGTTTTGCTTTCTTCCTTTTCTAGCTAGGGCCTCACATAGCCCAAGCTAGCCTGAAACCTGCTACATTAATGGGATTAGCCTTGAATCTCTGATCTTCCTGATTCTGCTTCTACCTTCCAAGTATTGGGTTAACTAAAGCGTCACTAATGCCTGGCTTTTTATTTTTTAACTAAATTTCACAATTTAGCTGGGATTACAGGAGTGAATTCACACATCTTGTCGTCCCCCCCACCCCCCGCTTTTTTGAGACGGGATTGGTTTGGAACTCTGTAGATCAGATTGGTCTCAAACTCCCAGAGATTCACCTGCTTCTGACTCTGCCTCCTCAATGTTGGGATTAAAGACTTGCACTGATCTAGTTTGAAGTTTTTAAAAAAACAATTGTTCCAAAGGTCATATCCCTTAGGTCTGGAATTACAGACAGTTGTACCCAGATGGATCTTGTGGATGCTACGGAGAGACAGTTTCTTTGTGGAACAACCTTGGCTATCCTGGAACTCTCTCTGTAGACCAAGCTGGCCTCGAACTCAGAAACCCGCCTGTCTTTTCCTCACACGCGCTAGGATTAAAAGCGAGCACCACTAAACGTCTGATTGTTTTACACATCTTAACCTAACAAAGTAGCAGAATTTAAAAAGGGTGGTTTAAGCCAGCCCAAGGCATTCTGAATCCCTTGGATAAAGAACGGCTCGACGGTTGCCCGGAGCAGCCCGGGAGGGGCTTACAGTAGCGAGGGTGATTGGTTGAAGAAGAACTTCCGCTGGCATTTCCGACTCTTGACCCGCCCTGAGCATCGGTGATTGGCTGGACTGTTACAAGCGTTATGTCACCTGGGAGTTGTAGTTCTTTTGGTTGATAGGCGACGCCAATAAGGACTAGTGGTTGGATGGAGACTGTTAGCGGTGATTTCGCTTGCTTATAGCCTTCCAAATCATGTCCCGCGTGTTGGTACCCTGTCATGTCAAAAGCACCGTAGCCCTGCAAGTGGGCGACATGAGGACTTCCCAAGGTCGGCCTGGCGTGCTGGTCGTCGATGTCACTTTCCCCAACATCGCGCCTTTCGAGGTGAGTAACCCCCCCTCCCCCAAGACGCGATCAAGGCTTCTGGGCGGGGAATAATACCTAGTAACTTGGGCGTTTCCTGGGCATTTACACAGCCTCTACAGTGTCTCTTGCTTTTGCGAATTGGCCCTATTCAGAAGCATTTACCGTCTCTATTAATAGACTTTATTAAATAGATTAGAGTTTCCCGTCTTATTTCTCTTCAGCATCTCTTCTCGGTGCCCAGGATATCACTGGAAATATAATTTTGAACAATTTTGTACCCTCAGAGCAAGTGAGAGGGTATTTGATTGTTGCCATTACTGGGATCGATAAATAATGGTGTAAATGTACCTGTTCCAATGGCCCCGGCTACAGCTCAGGTGCAACCTAGCCTTCATCTAGGTCCTCCTAGTGACTTGTCTCCAATCCCTAGTTGCACTTCCATCTCAGCTGACAGGGACAGGGCATCGCATGATCTCAACATAGGACAAAGCCTACCTCTAATGGCATATAATTCTTTCCTCACCCACCCTCTTGGCCCTATATGCTTAGTGTTACAGTATGTCATTCTCTCTCAAGATGTTGCTTACCATGGGCTCGGGAAACCTAGTTAATTGATCTGCCCCTGGAAAATCCGAGTCAGTGTATTCGAGGTGGATCTTTGACATCCATATTTTTATTTTAAAAAGTTTTATTTTAAATTTATCAATGTTGTGTTTGCATGTATGCTTGTATACTTTCTGCATGACTGGTACTAGTAGAGGCCAGAAGAAGGTTCTGAATCCCCTGGAACTGGAGTTATGAACAGCTGTAGGGTGCCATGTAGGTGCTGGCAACCAGACCTGGTTCTCTGCAAGAGCACCAAGTACTCGTAATTGCTGAGCCATCTCCCTAGTCCTGATATCTGTGTTTGATTGTTTTTGTTTTGTTTTAAGTTCCATAGGTGATGCTGGTGTGCATCCAGTGATGGAAACTACTGCTATGGCAGTTGGTACTCTAGGCTGCCCAGCCCACTGGCTCCCCCTTCCCTACAGTGCACGATTCTACTATTCTTGTTCTGGTCTAAGTCTGCTACTTCTGAGAGAGAGATGGGGAGAGAACCTCTGCTATTACCAGGCTGAATGACATACTAGATTCTCAAGTTCTCTCACTCTGGTACTTTTTAAAATATGCTACTCTTGGGAGGGTTGGGGAAATCTCAGAAATCCCAGAGTGGCCAAGAATAGTTGGGGCTTGCTGGGCAGTGGTAGCTCATGACTTTAATCCCAGCACTTGGGAGGCAGAGGCAGGTGGATTCCTGAGTTTGAGGGCAGCCTGGTCTACAGAGTGAGTTCCAGGACAGCCAGGGCTACAAAGAGAAACCCTGTTTCGAAAAACCAAAAAAAAAAAAAAAAAAAAAAAAAAAAAGAATAGCTGAGGCTTATCATGAACTTCTGATCCTCCTGCCTCTACCTCCCAAGCGTTGACATTACAGGTATACATCATACACCTGGTTTATGCTGTACTGAGCATCTAGCATAGAACTTCAAACATGCTAGCCAAGGCAAGCACTGTACCAACTGAGCCACATCCTCTGCCCAATATATTATCTTACCTGTCTTCATTGGTCCACTTAGCAAGCTCATCCTCATTCAGGTTTCACATGTCCGTTTTCTGCTTTTTTCGGAGTTAAGGTTCTGATCTCTGATACCATCTCAGATATGTTGGGATAGGGTTTGTTTGCATGACTTACAGATCTGTGAGCACTTTTAGGAAAGCAAAGTTGTGTTTGTTGAATTATTTAGCAAAAGTGAACATTCCAACAGGAGGAGATGGTATCTCTGGGCCTCATTTCTTATGGTGGGTCATGTGTATTCTAGTTGCAGGAGATCACATTTAAGAATTACTACACAGCTTTTCTGAGCATCCGTGTCCGTCAACAAAACTCAATGCACACACCAGCCAAGTGGGTAACTTGTCTGCGGGACTACTGTTTGATGCCTGATCCACACAGTGAGGAGGGAGCCCAGGAGTATGTATCACTGTTCAAACACCAGGTCAGCTGGGCCTCAGTATGGCCAGGGAATCCTAGATGAGGACTTCCTGACTATGGATTGGGCAGGAAAGCAGGAGGGAAGAGTGGGGTAAAACTGGGCCGGACTATGGCTTTCAGGCAGATACTTTGGAGGGGCCACTGCTCTGTCCTTCATAATGGCTTGGAGAAGCATTTGGTTTTACTGTAGATTGGGAGGTTCTTGGTAAATGAGCTGGGTCTTCGGTGGGTCTTTTATTTTATATATTTGTTTTTTTAAAATTTTTGTTTTGTTTTTGAGACAGGTTTTCTCTGTGCAGCCCTGGCTATCCTGGAACTTCCTTTGTAGAACAAGCTAGGCTTGAACTTAGAGAAAGGAACTGCCTGCCTCTGCCTCCCCAGGGCTAGGATTAAAAGCATGCAGCACTACTCCTGCTCAGGAGGGTGTATTCCTTTTATATGTGTACCAGATGCTGTGTGACATGACCAGAGTGCTGGAGCTGCGACTGATTCTGCGGCAGCCATCACCACTATGGTTGTCTTTCACAGTGGAGGAGCTGCAGATCTACCAGCAGGGACCAAAGGCAAGTGACTCTCCAAAACCTACTGGCTACCCTTTTACCGTAAAAGCTTCTAACTCTGGCTAGGAGAGGTACGGCACTGGGGTGGGGCACTGACAAGGATGGTGAGATTCCCAAGGAAGCTGGAATGTGAGTGCAGGAATTCATGATCAAAGGTGCAGTTCTGTGTCAGCATCCCCTGGCCTTTGAGACCACAGGCTACCTGTAGGTGCTGGGATGTGCTTTTTTCGCTTATGTTCATTGGTTCCCGTTCTGCACAACAGAAGAGTTTAGTAATCTGAGGGTCCCTTTGATGTTACATGTTTCTAAACATGGATTTCCCAGGGTCTTAGGCTCAAGGGTCCTTTTCTTTGCTCTCAGGTACCAGAGCTCTTAGATTCTGCCTCAGTTAGGTCAGTGTGCCTTTGCTTTGCAGAGCCCCTCCTTGGCGTTCCCCAAGTGGCTTTCCCATCCAGTGTCCAATGAGCAGCCTGTTCCTCGCCTTGAGGTAAGCTAACACTGGGTATTAGCCACATATTCACTGTTCTAATGTCAGGAGCACAAACAGAGCCTCTGGCTATCCTGGAGCTGCCAGGGGATGTAGCTCAGTGGTAGAGTACTTACCTAGCATGCACAAAGTCCTGGGTTTGATTCCCAACACCACAGACATTTGAGACTGGACCCAGGGCCTATGGTTCAATGTCTTCTTGGGTGGTCTGTGGGCTTTGAGTCATCCCTCATCCCTGGTTTAAGCATGGATCTGTTTAATGAATATCAGGCCATAACTGTTCTGCAAGTTATCCAGGAATGTTACTAGTTTCATCTGGAGTGCCCGATAGCTTATATCTGTAAGAGCACTTCTGGGGAGAGATTCGTGACCACTGTTCCTTCCTTCTGGAGCAGGGTCTCCCGGATCCCAGCAGAGTCTCCTCTGAGGTGCAGCAGATGTGGGCGCTGACAGAGATGATTCGGGCTAGTCATACTTCCACAAGGATCGGCCGCTTCGATGTGAGTTACTGTGTCCCTCGGCCTGGCTTACATCGCTCTGAGCATCTCAGCACTGATGGTCTCTTGTATTGCAGGTGGATGGCTGTTATGATCTGAATTTACTCTCCTACACATGAGCAGCTGCTTCTACTTGAGACACTGGCCTTCTGCGCTCATCTAGGTGGGGTTTGGCCACCAGAGGCCGAAGCATGTTCCCTGTGCATCCAAGTTCTATCTGGACAAAATCTACAGATTGGGAATTCTTGACACTTATCCAGTTGTTTTAGCATGAATTCCTAGTGGGGGCACTTTCTGTCTTTGACTGTCTGACATGTAAATTCAGTCTCTTCCTCTCAGACTTCACTGGTTCTAATTAGAATCCTTGAGCTCCTCTTGCCTGTCCTGTCAATACGTATACCCCAGTCTGCTACCATTTCCCCCCATTGCTGAGATAAACTTGTCACACATAGCCAAGGAAGCCACTGATGTTTTGACACTCATGACCTGTGAAGCTTGAGGAAGACACACTCTCTATTCATTCCTCTGCTTCTGCTAGTAGCCTTTGTCCTTTTGTATTATATTCATGAAAAAAAAAAAACATCCTAGAGCCAGGCATGGCACACACCTTCCATCTTAGCATTCTGTGAGTTCAAGACCAGCCTGGTCTACACAGTGAATCCCAGGCCAATCAGGGCTACATAGTGAGACTCTATATTAGAAAAGAAAGAAAGAAAAGAAAGGAAGGAGAAAAGGAAGGAAGGAAGGAAGGAAGGAAGGAAGGAAGGAAGGAAGGAAGAAAAAAAACCCATTTTGAAATTGTCTGCTACCAGCCTGGGAGGTGAAGATGAGATTGCTGGGAGCTGTGATTCTTACGTTCGTAAGCTGGCTCCTGGAAAGTGCTCTGTATCAGTTCTGGACAGGTGCTGTTGGCACAACTGGACCTGGAGAATGAGTCCTCCCTCTGGCCTACTTGTCATCAGACTCAGCTTGAAGCACATCCATGATCCCTGTCCTTTCAGTTGCTTCTGCCCATCATGCTCAGGGTGATGAGAGAGCACCCCTGAGGTAGGGTGTCCAAGCCACCCTACTGATACTCACTGAGGTGGAGGTACCTCCATTACCACTAAATGAAGAAGACCGCTGCTCTTTCCTGTGAACAAACTCTGTTTTCCTCTTGTTCTTCCTGGCTTTGTCCCTGGGAACTATTATTAAGCCGTGCTGCAAGGTGTCTCGGAACTGGACAATTGGATATGAGTGTGTGCAGCGGTTTTCTGGGAAAGTCTGGCCACCTTTGATAGCTACCCTGCATCCCCGAGACAGCCCTCTTGAAGGTCCCGTCTTCACATACAGGGTCATAGTTTAAGCCCCACTGAAAGGATCATTTCTATAGCCCTGTGTTCAGGGAACAATGGTCCTCAGTAGGAACGAGTAAAGAGGATCCTGAGGTGGCAGGGACTGTGCATAGTTCACAGCTGTGTTCCTAAGTTCCCAGAACTGGAGCTAGTGTGCAGCAGGATCAATAAATACTTGTGGAATACATGACTGTGTTGGCTGCTTGTGCCTAGCGGTAGAGCTAGAGACCATTATAAAAGGCTAGGCTGCAAAACTGCTGTGCTAGCCACCCTGGGGCTTCACCCTCCATTGATTGCTGTATCTCCCACTGCTACTTGACCTGAATGTGTAATTCAGGCTTTTCAACTATTTGGAGAACTTTGACCTTCTGGAGGCATGGTGTTCTAACCCCCAATTCTGGTTCTAGGCAGCCTATTCTGCTCTGAACTGCCTGGCTTGTTTTGATTAGTTTAAGTTAGAGCCTGAGGCCAATGGGAGTCAGCCTCAGTTTTAAATCCCAGCCTGCCCTATGGGCTTCCCGCCCCTTCCCATCCCCTGCAGACTAGAAAGACCTGTCCAGGCTGGGTTTGGACTACAACTCCCAGCGTGCCTGGCAGAGTAGTGGCCTCAGTGTGCCGGCTGCACCAGTTTCGGGCCACGATGCAGCGGACAGTCAGTGTGCTAGCCCCTCTGGGTTTTCGCCTGCAAGCACAACCCTTGGTCCAGAGTCGCCCACTCAGTTCTGCACAGGTGGGATAAAGGGTGCTGGAGTTTGTTACTGGTCTTGGAGGGTGGGGGAGAAGGAACCTGATGGTGACTGGGGCCCTGGTGGCATTAAGTCTGGCTGTCCACAGGATGTGCTCCGCAGGACTCCACTCTATGACTTCCACCTAGCCCATGGAGGGAAAATGGTGGCCTTTGCAGGGTGGAGTCTACCTGTGCAGTATCGTGACAGTCACATTGATTCACACCTGCACACACGCCAGCACTGCTCTCTCTTTGATGTGTCCCACATGCTACAGGTGAGTCAGGGAGGCTGGGGCCTACTTCCCTATCTACAGTACTGTACTCTGCAGCTTTGTTTGAGGATATCTTAAAGTGTTAGGGACTCTAGAGGGCTAACTCAGGAGACCTGCTTGCTCCTGTGGTGTGTTTTAATGCCCTGGGGCTCACTAGATCTGATGGTTTGGAAATTGGTTGGGTATCTCAGTAAGGTGTTAGGTCTCCTTGAATTTTTAGACCTTGCTCGATCACCACTCACACCGAGGCTGGGAAGGATAGAGGAGTTGAGAAGGTAGGACCTCTGCCCTCTCTGGAACCAGAAGACTAATCAGTCACTTTCAGGCTGGACTGTGTTGTGTGAGGCTAGAGGATGCTTGTCTTGGAGTCCTTTAGATTACGGATATTGCAATGGCCTGGAGCTTTCCCTGTTTTCCCTAGACCAAGATATTTGGCTGTGACCGAGTGAAGTTGCTGGAGAGTATAGTGGTTGGAGACATTGCGGAACTAAGGCCTAACCAGGTGGGCCCATTTTACTTCTTTTCAAGGGTGTTTTTAGTCACGTGCCAGTAAACAGCTTAAGTCCTTGCCTCAAGTGTTAAGAGGCACAAAGACACTCAGATAAAGTGTGGTCCTTAAACCAGGAGCCTCTCCATCTTCAATATGCTAAGGCACTGCTCTGGACCTGCTGAGCCAGAACCTTGGTTTTTCCAAGATCCCTAAGTGGTTCGTGTGATCTATCAGTCTCAGGTTTTGTCCCTCCAGCCGCAAGGCTAAGGCCAGCTTAAGACATTGCTGAAGAAAGTGGTGGGAGCCTGGGAAGATCATGAAGATGGTTTTTGAAGCTTTTAACCCTGGAGGTTGGCATAGGGGTGGAGTTAGCTGGGCGGGGTGAAGCCGTAAGTAGTTCCTAGGTCTTATAAAGTGAGTATGTTTTTTTTTTTTTTTTTTGGTTTTTCGAGACAGGGTTTCTCTGTGTAGTTCTGGCTGTCCTGGAACTCACTCTGTAGACCAGGCTGGCCTCAAACTCAGAAATCCACCTGCCTCTGCCTCCCAAGTGCTGGGATTAAAGGCATGTGCCACCACTGCCCAGCATGAAATGGGTTTCTAAGAACTGAGTAGTGAGGAAGCTGAAGGTCCTACTAGTCTGGGAGACCCCCTAAAATGGGAGGGATGAGGATTTACTTGACAGATGAAGATCTAAGGTCCTAGCCTTGAGACTTACTTTGTACCTTTTACCAAGGACTGTGTTTATGAGTTTGCTGTAGCTGAATGGATTTAAGTATGTTTCTGGCTCACACTTGTCTTTGGCTTCCTGGACCTGGAGACAAAGGATGCTCTGCTTTACTTACAGGGAATGCTATCTCTGTTTACCAATGAAGCTGGAGGCATCTTAGACGACCTGATTGTGACCAACACTTCTGAGGGGCACCTGTATGTAGTATCCAATGCTGGCTGCCGGGACAAGGACTTGGCTCTCATGCAGGTACAGGCGCTGCACTTTATTCTAGGTACTTTGTGTTCTTTGTTTATAAAGACGCTCTCAGTGCAGATAGGGCCTCAGAAAATGACTCTGAATAAGAGAATAGTCATTAGACTGAAGAGTAGGCCCTCCCTGGTACACACCAGAGTTTGGGGATGGGGACTAGAGGAGGTGGGGAGATACCGCTCACCCTGAAATGAGCATCCTCTGGTGAGGGGAAGGGTCTGCAATGCTCAATCTATAGGAGGAGTTCAATAATGGTCACAGACACTGACGTGTTTCTATTTTATATTTCAGGACAAGGTCAAGGAGTTCCAGAACAGGGGCAGTGATGTAGGCCTGGAGGTGGTAGATAATGCCCTGTTAGCTCTGCAAGGTGAGAGTGCCAGGTTGGAGCTAGGGCTAGCCCTTGCCTTCCTGCTTTATTTGCATGGAGGCTATAGAGGAAGGTATGGATGGCATGATATTGCACACACAATTACAAAGTTAAGCTTTGTTTCTTTCCTCCTACCTCCTGCAAGGCTGTCCATGGGCTAGGGACAAGTGCATTCTCTCTCCATTGCAGAGTTGGGCTTGCTAGGGACCTGTTTTGCTTTCTAAATAAGGGCTGTTGTTCAGGGGTGTGGGGTCCAACTCTCTTGGTTATTTTCTTTGGGCTAGGACCCACTGCAGCACAGGTGTTACAGGCTGGCGTGACAGATGATATGAGGAAACTGCCCTTCATGACCAGTGCTGTAATGGAGGTATTCGGTGTGTCTGGCTGTCGTGTGACCCGCTGTGGCTACACAGGAGAGGATGGTGTTGAGGTATGTCAAGAAATAGTTACTCTATGTGGTACTCACATTCCTAGCAGGAAGATCTTAATTCAAGGTGGCTAGGTTTCCATAGTGAATTTCAGGCTAACCAAGACTATATAGTGAGAACATATCTCAAAGAAAACAAAGCCAAAACAAAATTAAAATCCTAAGACAAAAAACATGTAGTTGTAAAGCATGGATCAGATAGCACATGCCTATAATCCCAGAACCTGGGAAATAGAAACAGTAGAATCATAAATTACAGACCCACCTTGGCTAACTGTCTCAGACAGAAGGGTAGGAGTAGGGGTCAATGGAGGCTATACTGCAGTGGCAGAGACTTACTCCTACACGACCAAAAGCGGTAAACATAGTTATAGGATTCAAGACACTGCCCATCAGCTCTCTGTTCCTTTGTGCAGATTTCAGTGCCAGCAGTAGGGGCAGTCCACTTGGCAACTGCTCTGATGAAAAACCCAGAGGTAAAGCTGGCAGGACTAGCAGCCCGAGATAGCCTGCGCCTGGAGGCAGGCCTCTGTCTGTATGGGAATGACATTGATGAACATACCACACCTGTGGAGGGCAGCCTCAGCTGGACACTGGGTGAGTTGGGCTAACATTCAAGGGGTCCCAAGAGCTAGAATACCCTTTAATGAAACCAGCTAGCCCATGACTACTCCTAAGGTTGTATAGGCTGGAACAAGTGACTCAGCCTTGCTGCGCCTTTATTCCTTGAAGGTGCTTCTGTGGCTTTGCTTATTATAAACTGAGTATCCTACATATGGCTTCTAGAGGGTAGATGATGGTTGGTTGACTGACTGTAATTCAGGGGAAGAATAGAGCCCAAGAGCCCAAGTGATGCTTAATGGACGTCACTTGGGGTCTTAGTAGTAAAGACTTCCTGTGCTTAGGGCTTCTGTGGACTGTGGCTTACAATCTGGTGTGTTATGTTCCAGGGAAGCGCCGGCGAATTGCTATGGACTTCCCAGGAGCCAAAATCATTATTCCCCAGCTGAAGGGTGAGGTGGAGCAGAAACGTGTAGGGTTGATATGTGAAGGCGCTCCAGTGAGAGCACACAGTCCTATTTTGAACACAGAAGGCACTGTGATTGGTAAGTGGTCTAGGATGGGGACACTGACTGGCAGGTGTCCAGGATAGTGCTATTGAGCTGGCAGAGTGGTGTTAACCTACGGCCTATGCCTGGACAGGTACAGTGACCAGTGGCTGCCCTTCACCCAGCCTGAAGAAGAACGTGGCGATGGGTTATGTGCCATTCAAGTACAGTCGGCCAGGGACACAGCTGCTGGTGGAGGTTCGGCGGAAGCAGCAAATGGCAGTGGTTAGCAAAATGCCCTTTGTGCCCACAAACTACTATACTCTCAAGTGAAGATGGCCCATGGGAAAGCCAGTCCCTCCAGGAGGATTTCTCTAGAGGGCATTCCATAGCGCTTAGTCAGAACAGGGGAGTACAACTCCCAGGGGTGGAAGCTGAGTGAAGTTTGCTGGGTCTGCTTAGGGTTGGGGAGAGAATCCCATCTAGACTCTTTCCCTTACAAACCATTCCAATTTTAGGGACAATGTTTAAATGACAAATCACCTTACTTAATGTCCTATTTTAGTCCACAATCCCACTAACCTTGACCTGCCTGGTGCTGGCTATGGAACAAAGGTCTGCCTCTGTGCAGAGGATAACACCTGCTCACCTACCTCTCTATGGTTTCTCTAATTTCAAAGGACTATCTCTGTGGACAGTGTGCGCTTAGGTACCTTCTCCACTCTGCTTTCCATGAATGCATACTCCTGCCTTTCCTTAGATAGAAATGACTCCTGACTCAGTGTTGGCTAAGGCTGTTGCTGTGTGCAAACATAGGGATGGCTGAGCAAACATGGGACTCACCCTTCCACATTCCCTAGTCAACCCAGCCTGCTGTGCAGCAGGACATGGCAGGCTTAGTTCTTGGCTGACCTCGGTCAGCTGTTGTGAATAATTATACTTTACTAACTCTTGAAAAAAATTAAAATTTCTTTCCTTCTTATTTGCCATAGTCTCTAGCTTTCTTGTTCTTTGGTCACTGGATTTCTGGGGTGTCTTCTTGGCCGCCAAGACAGGCTCTCAGTAGGATCTCCTTGAAAGGGGCCAGGTATATGAGAACTAACTAATGAGAATTACAGGGATATAGAAGTGGTGTGCTGGTATATCCCTGTAATCCTAGCACTTGTGAGTTAGAGACAAGAGTATTGGGAGTTGAGGGTCATCTTCAGCTTGGAAAACACGAGACACTAACTCAGTTCCCCAAATCTCTCCTACTCCCAAGTCCCCAAAAAACTAACGGGGATATCGCCCCTGCTGAGCAGCCCACCACCACGCTAGGGAGCTGGCACCATGCCGTCACCTCTGCAAAGTGCTGTATGTTGGATCCTAAGGGCAATGTACCCAAGATCCCTTACCAGTTGCCCACCTGTACACAACACGTGTCATTTGAATAACCACACCACTGATGCACTTCTGTTTTTAATATGCCACATCTTCAGTTGCTCCTGGGGTAGAATGTGAGACCTTGACTCTTGTAGTGATGTCAGTGGGTGGGCATGAGGCTGTGAAGAACATCTTTCTGCCACACAGATGACATCTCTGGAGTATGTACATGTGCACGAGGAGCTCAGTACAGTTTCACCTATAGTACACCTGCTACAAAGTCTCTGTAGGCAATGGCTGCCAGATGGCTATGTGACATCTAACAAAGAGACAGCGGACACCTGAGGTAGCTAGTAGCCCAGCAGAGACAGGCATACAACCATTAAAAGAGACAGATCCAGGACCACAATGCTTTTAGAAACCATAGTGCTCTCAGGAAGTGGTATTCTCATGGGGACACTGGCCACCCACTCCCTTGGAACCTCTTCTGACCCACAGTGAAGGGCCCAAAACTATTTGTGTGTAGCTCACTCTTACTGACATTCCTAGGGGCTGAAATGATGCTGGTGGACTCTCAGGACTAGGCCCTTGTCAAGACAGGAAGTAGTAAGGCAGCAGGGTACAATGAAGTCATTGCACTAACTGCTTAGTACCTCCCTAGGAGGGGGCAAGTACAGACCAAAAAAGCCTGTGGGTTCTTAAGCAGTGGAGAAGCTAGCCAATACCAGGAGCTCTTAGTAAGATGTCTCTCAGGACCTCAACTTGTCCCCCAAAAGAACAGTGAAATAAGTCAGTTGGGAAATGATAACTTCCTCTGCCTGCCTCAGACCTGGAAGATTTTCTAGCTGGACCAGTGAGGGACAGGTTTGGTGCCCTAGTCCAGGCCAAGATTAGTTGGCTTTTTGCCTACAAAGCAAAGCCAAGGAAACCAGGGCCTATAGGACTTTCCTTCTAAATCTTAGAACTGGCCAACTTCAAGATTCTTCTTAGAAGGACAAATTTCTCTAAGATCACATCCCCAAGGGGATGAGTAAGTCAGGAAAAAGCCAAGGTGAGAAAAGGGACTACTGACCTCCTCAACCAAAATGTTTCTCAGCTATGACCCTTGACAAGAAGTCTTTCCCTTTGTTAGAGACAAACTTCACCTGCCCAGTACTTGAAGCTGTTGGAGGCAAGGCTGAAGGCAGTGGAAGCTACCCTGGAAGCATCATGGTACTCCAATCCCCCAAGCCCAAGCCCTCTGCAGTTGTCCAAGGGGTCTGGACAGTAGCAAGTACAGCATAGGAGCCAGCAGACCCAGCGGTATCTCTGGAGACCCTTCTGCTGCTGCCTTCCCTTATTCTCTGTGAGTTTTGAGAGCTTCATTTGCTGCCATTTCCCTGAAAGTAATGGAGAGAAGCAAAGTTATTTCATCCATAGCAGAATAGTCCCTGACATTGGTTCTTCTTTAGCCCCTTCTTGGCTAAGCTGGGCTTAGTACAAGCTTATCATAGATTCTAGACTTCTTTTTTTTTTTAATTTATTTATTTTATGTATATAAGTACATTGTAGCTGTCTTCAGACACACCAGAAGAGGACATCAGATTCCATTACAGATGGTTGTGAGCCACCATGTGGTTGCTGGGAATTGAACTCAGGAGCTCTGGAAGAACAGTCAGGGGCTGGAGAGATGGCTCAGTGGTTAAGAGCACTGACTGCTCTTCCAGAGGTCCTGAGTTCAAATCCCAGCAACCATATGGTGGCTCACAACCATCTGTAATGAGATTGGATGCCCTCTTCTGGTGTGTCTGAAGACAGCTCCAGTGTACTCATAAATAAGATAAATAAATCTTTAAAAAAAAAAAAAAGAACAGTCAGTGCTCTTAACCGCTGAGCCATCTCTCCAGCCCCCAGATTCTAGACTTCTTTATTGATTTCTCATAGTCCTTGCTAGGTCTACCATTTTCCTACTTTATGATGCTTACCTAAGAGAGTGGCAACCTTCCTGAACCATGTCTTGCTTTCACTTTTTTTTTTTTTGGTTTTTCAAGACGGTTTCTCTGTGTAGCCCTGGCTGTCCTGGAACTCACTCTGTAGACCAGGCTGGCCTCATACTCAGAAATCTGCCTGCCTCTGCCTCCCAAGTGCTAGGATTTTGCTTTCACTCTTGAAGCCCTTTGTCTACTTGCCATAAGAAGAAAGTTATAAAGGCAAATTCGATTAGGCTACTGATCTTGTTGAATAAGCCCCTCAATTGTTCCATGGTCTCCTTCTGCCCTTGTGCTCAAAGTTCACCAATCGCAGCCTGATCTAGACTCCTAAAGTTACAGTTTCCCTTCCTACTGGCCCTTGTTTAATCCATTTTTTTTTCCTTATCCAGCTGCTTTACCACTTTGGTCTCAGCTTAGGTATCATAGAGGGAGGGGGCGGCCCCCCTCCAGCTCCTATACTTATTTCTCTTATAAATCTCTTGCTTCCCCTGTGAGCAGGATCTGTGTTGTCCTTGTTTTCAGGCCTACTGTGACCTCTGCCATCTGGTAGAAGCTCAGAGATTAGCTGAATGAAATGTCCTGATAAGTAAGCTGTTGTTTTTAGAGATTAGGAGGCTGACTTGATGAGGTCGTATGCTAAGAATAGAGACTGTTAGGCTGGGGGTTATAGCTGCAGTGGTACAATGCTTGCCTAGAATAGATGCTCTTGCTTTCCTAATGAAGGACTTCCCAACCAAGGGATTTGTTTCCAACAGACCTGCCACTTCTTCATCTTTCTGAAATTACGGTAACACCACCATCCATCCCCACTGATATGCTGTCGAGAGGCTCTGAAGGCACTGGGAACCCCCGACTAGGATCCTGAGCTCTACCTTTAGACTTGGAGGATTCTCACAAAGGCCACTAAGCTGGTACACTCACATCCTGAGAGCTCTCTTCCCTGTTACCAACACTCCAGTGTTCTCTGCCTGTCAAGCATGGGGTTGGGATAGACAGAGATTTACTCACCATGAAGGGAAATGTGTGGAGCCATCAGGTGTGGATCCATTCTGGCCACCCAGACCTGGAGGCAGGAACACACCCAGAGCTGCAGGAGGCTGAGGGTGGGGATCTGAGCAGGCGTTAGCCCAGGTCAGGTCAGGGGCCACTCGTGTAGTTTAACAGAGATTGAGGCTGGGATACTAGGGACTAGTGGTATTTCCCAGTAAGGGTTTTGAGAAACAGTTACAACGTGATGCTGGACAGGAGGGGCTTCTGGTGTAAAATGGTATGGGGCTGTAAATCTGGGTACAATGAGGCTCCTGGGGGACCAGTGGTAGTCTATGTGGACACAGGCGAACCCAATGGTACAGTCTGGTGGTGGTAGGGAGAGCCAGGCCAAGGAGGTTCATAGGGAGCCTCACCTGGACGGTGATACAACCCGGTCACTGTGTTCCCGTAGAACCCCCACGCCAGCTGGATGCCCAGGAGACTTAACACCAACCACAGCAGGAGCAGCTTGAAGAGAGTCACTCGCATGTCTTGTGTCTCCCACTCCCGCAGAAACTCGCTGCCAAGGGTGCCCAGCGCTCCGAGCACCGTGGCAGGCAAAGCTTGCAGAAACTGCCCAGCCCAAGGCTCCGCCATGACTGGCCAGCGCCCCACCGGGTGTACTGTCACCGTAGTCTTTACTGCGCAAGCGTATGGTCTTCCGGGGTTAGGCCTGTCAGTGCGCACGCGTAATATAAGGCAAGGAAGATCTACTTCGCTTGCGCGAAGTGTTGGCAGTTTGGGGAGGGGTTTTACAACCACGCAGGCGCACCCAGCCCCACCCTGCTTGCTTAAAGGATGAGTGATTCGGTGAGTATAAAATAGCAACTCGGTCTTTTATAGCCCCGGAGTTCCCGTGATGCTCCACGCAGCTGCCATGATTGGTTAAGCGTCTCGCTTTTAGGGCGTGGATGCGCTCTTGAGCAATCGTGGCTGAACTGAGAATGTGCGCGCGTGCGCGGGGCCGCGACTGGTGCCAGCTCGAGCCCGCAGGGCGCTCGGGGGCGCGCACGTCGCTCCCCGCCCTCCCGCCACCGCCCGCCCTCGTTCGCTCGCGCTCCCCGCCCGCCACCCGCGGTCTTCCGTCGGTTCTCTCCCTTAGCCCGCCGTCTCCCACGGAGCTCCTCGTCCTTGTCTCGGAGCTCGCGGACTCGCGGACAGGCGTCCTCAGCGCGAAGAGGCTGGATTCCGAGTCGTCGCCTTGAGGTGAGCAGGAGCGTTCCCTCCAGCCGCCTCGGCTCGGGGCCCGGCTGGTCGGCTGGCCGGCCGGCACTTTTCCGGCCTCCGGCCAGTCGCCTGACCGCAGTCGCGCCCCACCTGCTGCTCTCGGCCAGCAGCCCCTCGCCCCGGCCCCTGACCTGGGGCCCCGCTCCCGAGGCGGCGGCCCCGCCCGCGCAGTCCCCGGAAGCGCGCCCCGCCGCCTCCAGTCCCCCTTCCCCCGCCCGGCCGGGCCTGGTGGAGCCCTAGCCGCCCGCCCTCCCCGTCGCTTCCTCTCTGGGCTGCGCCGGGCTGGGCGGGGGCTCCCGGCCGGCCCGCGACCGCGCTGGGTAGCCTGCCACTGCGAAGCGCGTGTGGCTGTCGGGAGTTGAAATAGGCAAGAAACTCTTTTACAACTCCATTTTG